GAGCCTCGGGTCCCCAGACGCGGCGCCCTTGGCTTCGGGCCCCGCCCGGCGCTCGCGCGCATCGGTCTGCTCTTCCGGCTGTTGGAGCGGAGGGCCTCTCCCCGGGACCCTTCCTCTTCTGCCGAGGGTCACATGACGTGAGCCTCGAGCTGGCTGCTTTTGACTCATTTCCACCGCTTCGCTTCCCCTCCCCCCAAGTCCTTTGAATCCCAGCGTCTGTCTGCCGTGGGCTCCAAAGAACTGCCCTTCCAGACGTTGAGTCCTCCCTACCTGGCGATTTCGGGCTCGTGGGAAGAGACGGCTAGCCGCCCCCGGGTTGTTCCAGGCCTAAAACTGAATTCCGTGTTCCGTGCCCCTCTGAGCGTTGACTGCTTTTCCCCCGTGAGAATTCAGGTCATCTCTCACCCAGGTAGCCCCGTTCCCTTTCGGCTGTTTGCAGGTGCTCAGAACTGTAGCATTTTGGGCAGTAAGGCTCTTTCTTTGGAGGGGAAACGACACGTTCTGAATTTGCTTTCGGAGTTGCACACGCTCTTCCCGAAGAAGCGCTTTCTCCATTTTATTGTCAGGCTGCTTTTTTTGCGTTGTGTATTTTCTTCCCTTTGCAGGTCTTCGATTCAGGACCGCTGCCTCGCAGCCATTGCTACTGTTGCAAGTATCAATTGTCCTGATACTGTAATATGAGCTTTACAGTGTAGTGACATTTTACATACGGTTGGGCTTTTGGATTCTTGTTGCCATATTCCTATTTCAGGAAACCGACTTGTTAAAATGCAGATTATGAGTCTGAGGGAAAATGGCAGGGTGTGTGTGAGTCTTGTACCTTAGCCCAACCGCCCAGTTGCCTTTGTGTGTGTGTGTGTGTGTGTGTGTCAGAGTCTCTCCCTGTCGCCCAGGCTGGAGTGCAGTGGCACGATCACCGCTCACTGCTTCGTCTACCTTCTGGGCTCAAGCGATCCTTCCGCTTCAGCCTCCTGTAGCTGGGACTACAGGTGCTCGCCGTCACGTCTGGCTACTTTTAAATTTATTATTATTATTTTTAAAGACAGAGGTCTCACTGTGTTGCCTAGGCTGGCCAGTTACTGTGTGTGTGTGTGTAAAATAAATCCTCTGTGATTTGGATGACAACATGTAGTTGTATTTTACTGTGAAAAGTTTGGAAGTTTTCAATTCCTTTGTCTTTCCCAGAATGCAAGAGATTTGGAAAACATTCCCAACATACGCCATTTTCAGAGTCAGTTACCTGGTTTTATTTGAGAAGCACCTGATTTTTAAGCAGTGCAAAACATTAGTTTTTTTCTGGTTTTGTACTACATCATTGGAAATGGATGCAAATTCCAAACACTCAGCAAATAAGAGTCATAGCCATTAGTCACGAGGATTCTAAGTATTGTATTTTGAGTTGTGTGCACAGGTCAGGCACTCTTCTAAGAACTTCAATAATGCATTAATCCTGACAGCTCTGGGGTAGGAGGTAATATTCCATTTTACAGACGAGAAAACTGGGGCATGTTTGCCCAGTGTCAAATGGCTAATGCATGGTGGAGTAGAAGTGTAAACTCAGGAGTTCTAGCTTTGTAGCCTCTGCTCTTTTTTTTTTTTTTTTTTTTTGAGTTGGAGTCTCATTCTGTCGCTCAGACTGGAGTGCAGTGGCTGCTCCCGGCCACCGCAGCCTTGACCTGCTGGGCTCCGGCGATCCTTCCGCCTCAGCCTTCCAAGTAGCCAGAATTACAGGTGTGCGCTACCACGCCTGGCTAATTTTTTGATTTTATTGTAGAGATGAGGTTGCGCCTGCCCAGGCGGGTCTCGAACCCGCGGGCTCAGGCAATCCACTCACCTCAGCCTCCCAAAGGCGCGGGATTACAGGCTGGGCCACCAAGCCCAGCTCAGCTTCTGCTCTTAATCACTGTGTTTTATGAATTGTGTCCTATTGGTTGTTTCTTCATTGCTCTAAGATCAAGCATAAGAATCATCTTTTGTGTTCAAGTCTTTCTTACTTGAGTGAACATTTTTAGCTACTGTGGAAGTACATAAAAATGACCTGGGGAGTTAAAGTGTACCTTCTCTGAACCCAGTTCTCTGTCTTAGGTCACAGAGGCTGGAGAAGGTCTAAGAAGCTACATTGTTAAGAAGCTCCTCATGTCATTCAGGTACAGGTGACTCAAAGACCACTCGGAAAAACTGATTTGGACTGTTGGGAGGTGGAGTGGTTATGTTTAGGTGTTTTTGTTTTGTTTTGTTTTGTTTGAGTCGGAGTTTCACTCTGTCACCCAGGCTGGAGTGTAGTGGCACACTCAGCCACTGCAGCCTCGACCTGCTGGGCTCAGGTGATCCTTTCGCCTCAGCCTTCCAAGTAGCTGGAACCACAGGCATGTGCCACCACACCTGGCTGATTTTTTGATTTATTGTAGAGACTAGGTCTTGCCATGTTGCTCAGGCTGGTCTCGAACCCCTGAGCTCAGGCAGTCCTTTCGCCTCCCAAAGTGCTGAGATTACAGGCATGAGCCACCATGCTCAGTTTAAGTTGAAACTTCTTTTACAGAATCCAGTAGATGAATATTCATGTTGTAGCATTTATGTTTTGTGTTTGTATCTGATGTCTGTCGTGGTCCCCTTTTTGCTTTCTGTGGTAAATCATGAAAAGCCATCTTTCAGGTAATGAGATCTGTGAAACAGCTAAATAAGATACTGAGTGTTCTTCCTTCCATTTGTTCTTTCTGCACTATCCATGGGTGCATCTGTTGGATGGAGAGATAGCTTGTGGACTGCTGAACCCTCCAGGAATATACCTGAGTCTTAACTGAGAGAATTCAGCGAAGACTAAATCTGTATTGTTGGGTGGATTGGATATGGAATGGTTCCTTCCACCTTTCTTTTGAGGTTAGAAAACCTTGTTCTGATGCCATTACCCTGCTTGTCTGAAGGTACAGAGATGAACGTGAAGGAGCTATTCAGGTCAGAAGTCCCTAACCCCTGGGGTCCGCAGTTAGCAGTTAGGAGCCGTGCTGCACAGCAGGAGGTAAACTGCAAGGGAGCTCTGCCTCCTGTCATGTCAATGGCAGCCTGCCCATTATTTTATTTACCACTTCCATCCGCTCCTCTTGATTTAAAATGGTGACTTGTATAATTATTTTATCATATATTACAGTGTAATAATAGTAGAAATAAAGTACAAAAAAATGTAATGTGCTTGAATCATTCCCCTCCCCACCACCATGGAAAAATTGTCTTCCAGAAAACCAGTCCCTGTACCAGAAATGTTGGGGACTGCTGATTCAGGTCACCTTAGGAATTCTTGAGACTCTGGTTGTAATCATATTCTGCTACACATGTCCCTAGAGCAGTGAGTTTCCCAAACTTGTTGCCATCCCTGACTTCCTGCATCAGAATCACTAGGGATGAGGCGGGGCATGAATATATGTAAGAAGTTCTTCAAAAATTTTGGATCAGGTGTGGGTGTGTCTCACAGGGCTGAGAGAGATACCAAATAAAGATTGGTTTAAAAGGATGGCAACAAAGATGCTAGTAATGGTAACATGGCTATTTTCTGAGTGCTTACTTGTTTGTGTTAGACACTATGCCAAATATCTTATGAGCATCTCCTTTCAGTCACAATTATCCTGTGAGGTAGGTTTTTTTGTTTTTACCTTCAATTTCCAGATGAGGAAACATGCTTAGTAGGAATTGTTTCTTTGTCCAAGGCCATATAGTGAGTTAGAGATAAGTTGGGTTTTGATTCCTGTTGTCTGACTTCAGATCTGGTTTTTGGTCCACATTTTGGGGTGGGAGAAGGTACATAGGATGTAATCCAGAACTGTGGTTCTCAGAAGCTTTAAAAACTATTTCCCATGGGGAGACACGTCTTATCAACAAGGGTGCCTGACTGAAGCATATTTGTATACCTAACCCTTAACTGTACCCCACAATATCATAATAAAAAATATTGATTAAAAAAAATAAATAAAAATAAAAACTATTTTCCCTACCCACCCCAACCCACCATTGCATGCTGCAGGTCCGCAAAGGTGTTGACATTATTTTTAAAATTTTATTGAGGCATATAACATACACTGAACTGCACAATTTTGGCAAATGTATCCACTCATGTAACAGCAGAGCATGCATTTTTATCAAAGGCCTCGTGTCAGAAGTGTGGGAAGCTCTGGGATTAGAGCACTCCACAGCAGTGTGGGGGAGGAGCTGGTTCTTTGACGATGACTCCCAGGCATATTGAAGCACACCAGGTCTTTGCCACTTGCTGATTTCGGACTCATACCAATCATGGAATATCCTTCATCTTCATTAGTCTAGAAAATAAGGTTTTTGTTTATCCTTGACAATACTAACCTAGAAAGTGAACTGCTATTCCTTGGCTTTGGGGAGCATCAGTGTTGGCAGTATGGAACTGATGCTGGGGCCCTTTGAGACTCTCTTTTATCAGCTTAGCATTTCAGCTTCAGTTAGGGAATTGGGGGTGCTGTCCACTGGGAGCTCAGGAAAAGGGTTAGATTCCTTTTTTTTGTTTTGAGTTGGAATCTCATTCAGTCGCCCAGGCTGGAGTGCAGTGGCACACTCATGGCCACCCCAGCTTTGACCTCCTGGGCTCCAGCGATCTTTCTGCTTCAGCTTTCCGAGTATACGGAACTACAGGTGCACACTACCACACCTGGCTATTTTTTTTTTTTTATTTATTGTAGAGATTAGATCTCACCAAATTGCCCAGGCTGATCTTGAACCTGCGGACTTAGGCAATCCACTTGCCTTGACCTTCCAAAGTGCTGGGATTATGGGCTGAGCCACCAAACCTGGCTAAAAGGTTAGATTCTTGTAGCTTTATAGCTCAGTTCGGAGAGACAGAATGGGGGAAGATATTTTTTAATCTATTGATTTATCAACTTTAAATGAAACCAAAGTAAATATGGCCCCTCATCTTGGGTGTATAACAAATAATAAGAAGGGGCCAAAAATAGTCCAGTTACGCAGCTGTGTAAAATGGCACAGTATATTACTTTTAGGGGCCATCTATATGAATCATGCACTTGAATAATATTGTTGTTCAATGTTGGTGTCCTTGCTCTCTATCTAGGGAGACCATAAGCAAGAGATGTGGCCATTAAAAATATTTTACTTAACCACATGTTAAAAGGATGAGAAAATAGACTATATGTTGTTGGAGAGGACCTTATCTAACAGTGAAAAGAATGGCAATTTCAAAAGTGTTATTTAAGAGCAGTGATGTTTGTTTAACTTAAGTTTGTAACCTCTGTTCATTTCTCAGGTTCATGTCTTGGGGTATCTTTATCTTCAGGCACCATTCAATGTCAGTGAGCCTAACTAGGAGATGAAAACCCTCTTCTAAATTGTGACTTGAAGTCTGCTTTTTAATAGTGAATGCCATCGCTCAGTTTTTTA